GGATATTTATTCCTGAAAAAGCTGCACATGAATCAGATTTTTGTAAATTGAGTCATACCTTTATGTTATGATTCATTTTGTAAGATAAATAATCTCTCCCAAGTTTATGCTTGTAGTAAGCCCAGATGTTCATGGGTCAGAATTGCTTGGAGTAAGAACACCTTTAGGATGCCGTGTGTTGCGTAAGCTGTGGTTTATTCTTTTTGAGGTTACTTAGGTATGGGAAGTTTGATTCTTTTTTTTAAGGGCAGCAGTTATTTGCCAGTCTATAAACAACTCAGTACAAAATAGGCCTCTGAGGATCTTCAGTTTGTAATTGATGAATTGTTCATGCTGAAATACTTGGCCTTGATTCTTACTCTCCTTGAGAAAGTGGAATTTTTCGTAAACACCTTAAGAGTTACAAAAATAGAGGGAAGGAAGACTTGCTCTGCCAGCAGTGAAATGCTACCCATTTTATAAACATGATTAGCAGTCACGTGATAACACACTGCTTCAAAATGCATTGAGGAAGGGTGGTAAAAAAACGGTCTTTATTAATAAAAAGCTTATGCAGAAAGAAATGGAAGTACAAAACAGAATCAATGCCTCGAAAAAGATGGGCAGAGTCTCCCCCACTCACCCGCCGTTCTCCACCTCTCAGTTTTCTATTTTGTCTCTCTGACCCTGGAGCTGTTTTTCAGTTGATAGAAACTGCAGAAGGGTGTGGGAATAAGACGTCTCCACTCGTCTCAGCCAGCATTCCCCTCCCAGAAGCAGCTAGTGTCTGCATCTTGAGCATCCTTGAGTAGTGAAAGTCTTTATCTCCAGCTCCGTCCTCTAAGCGTTCAAAAGACAATCCATTCAATCACTGTTTGTCTGTAAGGAGCATAAATACTCTGTATTAGCATTTCAGAATTTCTTCTGACGTCCTAAGCTCCACGTGCTGAGGGGCATACTCATCACAAAAAATTTAGAAGTGGTATTTTTTCCCCACTCGAGGGCCCTGCCTACTGTCGTAGGCATGTGACCACCTGATATTTTGGAGGTTTCCTGTAGTGATTTTTTGCAGCTCTTGCAGATGAGCACCCAAGGGGCTGCTGGGCATTCAGCCTCCTCACCCAGCCCCAGGCACCTCCTTGCATCGTAAAGCGGAACGGGGCCCCGTGGCGGAGGACTCGGGTTCTGGGATGAGCAGCGGGCACTGTTCGCCTTCTGAGAGGACAATCTGCCCCTCCCGGAGCTCCTGGGAGCTGGACCCTGCGGTGGCCTCGTCCTCAGCCGGGCTGGGACTGGCCTCTGTAGGAACGTGCCTTTTGTTTTCTGTCTGGTATTTCAGAGCACACCCCAGCCTTCCCACTCTCCGGCCTGCCACGGTGTCCTTGCTCCCCAGTCCTTCACCCCTCCAACTCCCAGTCCTGCTTAGCCGTCACTGAGAGACTTCAGTCTCTTTCAGAGGAAACACCCTGCTCCTCCTGTGACCAGATGGAGAAACGCACCTGCGTCTGCCCTCCTCTCCTCTCCCCTTCTCTGGCCCCATTTCCGCTCTTTATCTTTTGCAGCAGGGATCTCTCCTTCCTGATTAATTCTTCTCATTCTGTAAGATGCTCTCAAGAAGCCCCGTCTTTAAAGAATGAAACAAAACAAAACAACCCTCCCCTCATCCCGCCTTCCCCAACAGCTACTGCCCCGGTTAGAGCTCCAGCTGTACTCGGCCATGTCCTCTGGCTGGGCTCCCTGCTGCCTCCCCTTCTGATTTATTCTCCACCGAAGGAGCCAGTGTGATCATTTAGAAATGCCTCAGATCACTTAACTTCTTTGCCTTTTCATCCCATTCAAAGGTTCCCCTTTGCACTTAAAACAAAATCCCTTTTCTGTGCATTGCCTCCAAAGTCCGGCATGAGCTTCCTCCAGCGCACCTGTCGCACCTCTCCTCCTGGCCACAAGGGCTTTCCTTCCGTCTCCCAAGTGCACCGCTTTCTCCCCTCCCCGGTGCCCCCCTCGGGACTGTGCCTGGGATGCTCATCCCCATTCTGGAGAGGCTGGCACTTCCTCCCCCCATTGCCACCCGTTTAGCATCACCCAGGCCCAGCCTTGGGTCCAGAGCTCTGCTGCTCCCAGTCTAAGCATGGCAAGGAGATGCCCGTTGTTCCTTCTCCTCTGCTCTGGGCTCTGCCGCTCACTCACTGGGTGTGTCATCTTGGACAAGCTACTTCCGACGTGCCTCGGTTTTCTCACAGTGACCACGCACAGGTGTTGGAGTGGCTCGGTGGGGAAATGTGTGTGAACACTTCACCATCATACTCAAGACTCTTCAACGTTCATTCGTATAGTAATATGTCAGAATTTCTTTACTTTTTCTTTTGAACAGTAGTAAAGAGTAATAGGAAAATAACATTTTAATAAAGTCAGCTTTAGTAAACCTGAACTTTTCGGTATTTTCTCTTCCCCACCTAGAGACGACTACGCTGAGTTTGGTGTTTATTCCTCTGAGATTCTTTGTTACCTCCCTTAATGCAGGGCCTCCAAGACACAGGACAGGAGCTGTGTTGTGTAGGAATAACACCATAGTTTGGAGCCACGGTGAGACGGTGATAGAGTTTGAAATGTGACTCTGAATACCAAGGTTTCTCAGACCCTAGATTCTTGGCTAGTCAGGGTTTTCACAAAGGATGGGGTTGGAAGGTGACCCCTGAATGTCACTCATCAAAGTAGAAATTCCAACAGGTGTGGTTTGAGGAAATGTACGGTTTCTTCAAACCTCTGTTGTCACCCATAATAACAAATAAATTTAGCATCATGACCCTTGACACACACACACACACACACGCACACGCAGAACACATACCTGTGAATGAAAAGTTTTAGTAAAATTATACTAATTCTTTCTGTTAGGTGTGCTGCATGATAGTTCATTTTGTTGTTTTTATAAAAGCTGTTTCGTTCCAATAAGTTGATTTCACATGCCATTAATACATAGGAACCCACAGTTAAAACACAACCACAAACGCTGGTTATAGGACCGCTGTATGTTTCATGGAGTGAAAGTTTTTTACACGGTGTATGTAGTTTAACTCTGCTGAGCATTTTTTAGAAAAAACCTTTTCCTATCACTGACCTAAGCCTTTAATTACTAAAATTAAGTCCCGTGTAAAACCAAGCAGAATGCAAAACTCTCTGGGAGCTCGGATTACTCTGGGCCGTGTTATTTCTCTTCAAAGCTCCCGACCCCTCACCCATTGCCTCAAGGCAGCCGGGCTTGATTAAGGAAACAGAACTTGAACACAGTGACTTAAGTGTATGAATTTGTGATTGTTAAGCTGCAAAACCAACCTTTCCAAATAAAACAGTGCAAGTCCACCTGCCAGGTGGAAAGAGCAGCTCCAGCCCTCAGCTCCCCTTCTCATTGTGGCTTCCCTCTGTGCACGCTAAAGTCTACGCGAGGAGCAAAGCGGTGTAAGCGTGGCGTAACATTTATTAAATGTCATCGGAGATTTGTGACCAGGCCGCCGTCCTCCTCGCGTGGGGTACCTGATAAATACGACACTAGCCGCAGTTCATTAGCAGCACCTTTGCCCGAAGAAGTTGCTGGAACTGCCCTCAGAAAGGTGCAGCTTTCCCTCCAAGGATGCAACAGAGAAAATGATATTTATGCATACGAAGCAAGCAGCTGTTGGAAATGATGAGCCAGATTGATTCCAAGGTTTGAAAATATGTCAGTTTGCTCCGGAACATTACCAACAGCCAGTTTAAACAGTAATTCGGTTGCTGGTTTCTAAAATCTGCAAGGATAGGGTTTTGTTTCATTAAGCCAGTTATGTCAGACTAGGAAATGCAGTTTTGCCTCAGGAAATGAAAACTGGACTGTCGGACAACTGGGAAGGAATGTCTCCTTCAGGTGAGGCGGCAAAGAGTTCAGCTGATTTTCAGGCAGGATAACAGATGTGACACCGGTACTTTTTGTGTATGAATTTACATATGTGTTTATAGTAACTTCTAGAGAGCAGTCCTCAGACCTTTTGGGCTTAGCCCCTTCTGTCTTTTAAGATTTACTGAGAACTCCAAAGAACCACTGCTTATGTGGCTTGTATCTACCAATTTTTACCATGTTAGAAATTAAAAACTAAAAAATATTTACTCACCCATTAAAAGACAATAATAAACCCATCATACATTAACAAAGAGAAACATTTCTATTTAAAAACTATATTTTTCCCAAAAAGGAGTGAAAGCAGTGTCATTGCTGTGTATCTGTGCAAATCTCTTTAACTCCCGGCTCAATAGAAACACTTGGATTCTTACATCTGCTTCTGCCATGACGTCATTTGGATTGAAGCGCATGAAGGAAATCTAACACCTACACATCGTAGTTGGAAAAGAGAGGACCTCTCAGCCCCTGAAAGGGACTGTGGGACTCCCAGAGGTCCAACCCTGTCCTAGAGAATAATTTGGAAGAATATATGAGTAGTGAGATTATTAGTGATCCTCATTTTCTTCTATTTCATTTACACGTATTTTGTCCGTACGTGTAACAGATTACTTGCACAAGCTAAAATGGGGAAGGACAAAGCATGGGAATATTGAGGAAAGATTACGGTGAGGAAAGATGACGGAGGCCCTAAAAACTCAGGCAGAGATGTTTGTACTTGGGAAACCAAGGGGCTACTGTAATTTCTTAAATAGGGAAACGGCTTGCTAAAAATTCCTTTGGGAGTGAAGGGGCTACAATTGGCAGAGAGGACAGACCTCAGAGGGTGTTGCAGTAACTGGGGGCGCAGTGAGGTGGGCGAGGCCTCAGGTCCCAGTGGGAATGGGGAGAAAAGTTGGCAATCTGAAAGACCTTTCAAAGGCAGAATGACCAAGGCTTGGGTGTAGAGAATAAAAGAGAAGGAAGAGGCCGAGATGACCAAGAGTTTTCACGCATGAAATATCTGAAGACCATTTTCTTCCCTGTATCCAGTCCTTCACGTTTTCTGGAAACTATCCTGATTAAGCTAATAGAAGCTGTTCTTGTTTTTCAGAGCCGCCCAGCCCCTTCCAGACAGAGAGTCCACACACTTCCCAGCCTGCAGACCTGTGACGTCCCTGGGGAGCGACTGCTGCGCGCTTCCCTCAGGGCCTGCAGGCAGTGAGGGCTGTCTGTGCGCTCGCTGTGGTGCCGGGCGCCCGTGGTCCCCTCTTATGCACTCCAGCACCCCCATCAGCTCCCTCTTCTCCTTCACCAGCCCAGCAGTGAAGAGACTGCTAGGCTGGAAGCAAGGAGATGAAGAGGAAAAGTGGGCGGAGAAGGCAGTGGACTCTTTAGTGAAGAAATTAAAGAAGAAGAAAGGGGCAATGGATGAGCTGGAGAGGGCCCTCAGCTGTCCGGGGCAGCCCAGCAAGTGTGTGACGATTCCCCGGTCCCTGGACGGGCGGCTGCAGGTGTCCCACCGCAAGGGCCTGCCCCACGTTATTTACTGCCGCGTGTGGCGCTGGCCTGACCTCCAGTCTCACCACGAGCTGAAGCCGCTGGAGTGCTGCGAGTTCCCGTTCGGCTCCAAGCAGAAGGAGGTGTGCATTAACCCCTATCACTACCGCCGGGTGGAGACCCCAGGTGAGCTCACTGCTTGACACCGCTGTGTCTTCTAAAAGCTAAGGAGGTGGGTCCCAATTGACAGGCATCAGCAAGGTAAGGGCCACCTCGCATCAGAGAGACGAGAGGAGGTTCAGTTTTGAGGAACTAACCCCGAATTTTGTAATCAGAGAAGTGTAGAAAGCAGATGATGTTTCCAGTGTACATGTGAGCTCTGTGCTTTGGAGAATCCCAGTTTTTATTTTGATGTATTTTGGGGTCGTCATCATGTTTTTCCAGTTCTTGAGGCCTGTGAAGGTCTTAATTTGCCTTGATAAGATTAACTGTAAACATAGACCCCTGCCTCCGTGTCTGGTCTCGTTCAGCTCAACTGAGCTGAGCTGAGAGGGTGTTTTGGTGCCCCCCCCAAGCGCAGGTGAGGGGAGCCATCTTAGGTCTGGGTCTGAAAACAGCCAGTGAAACAGTTGCTGGAGATCCTTCTAGGACTGAAAACAGTGGGTTGTGGGGAGACTGCCAGTCGTTCCTAAATGTGGCTTTAAATAGAGGAAAGTATTGTTCCTCAGCTCTTTGCACACCGTGTGTGTGCGCGTGCGCATGTGTGCACACACACATTCACCCCCTTTCTGGAGAAGGCTGGTGTTTGTCTTTGTTCCTTCCCACTGGCCAGAGCAGTCTGATGCACCCCCTCTTCGGGCGCGTGTTCCCCTGGCTGTAGGATGCACTTTCGTGGGAGCCTCCTCTCCCTGACCGGCCACATGCCTTGCCCAGGAGACCACAGGGCTGCACACGCCCCCTGGAGATGGCCACGTCCAGTGAGTGACGGTTCTGGCATGGTGGGCAGGCCGTGGCAGGGGTCCAGCCCGCCGCCTGGTCCAGGGTACACGGTAGCGGGCGGGTCGTGCTCCCAGCACTCAGGGGCAGCTTTCTGGTAAAAACAGGCAGACCGTTTGTTTTTACTTTCAGCACCACACCTGAAGCGTCGGCTGCTCATCTAAGTAATTCAGGGCGCTTTCTGGAGGGCAAACATTCTAGACATCGCTTAGGGCTTCCCGCAAGCAATAGAAATGGGTTTTTGCTTTAAAATGAAAAACTCACTGTATTGGCAGAATCAAAGAAAGACGTCGAACAATGAAAATCCAGTCCGCAGAAGGCCGGGTCGGGGGCAGCTCTGGTGGCCTCGGTGCGGGAGAGAGCGGGCGGCCCGTCAGTGCCGACCCGGGACAGTCCCCCTCTGGCCGTTGTGCTGTGATGTGCTCATCATTCGGGCTCAGCTGAGTCCCAAGCTCACGCTTTGGGAAGAGCGGGGACCCGACTTGGCAGTGTCGTGATGAGCACAAAGAAGGTGGGGGTGCCCTTACCCAAGGGAACCCGGTTCTGTCATCGGAGAACGAGCAGACGCCGCAGGCTGGGGCCCGTGCGGTGCTGGCGGCCAGTGCCCAGCTCCGACCCCGCGCCTGGGCCCGCCTCCGGTGACCCGGGCTCACCGCCCGCGCCCCTCTCCCCGCAGTGCTCCCGCCGGTGCTCGTGCCGCGACACAGCGAGTACAACCCGCAGCTCAGCCTCCTGGCCAAGTTCCGCAGCGCCTCCCTCCACGCGGAGCCGCTCATGCCGCACAACGCCACCTACCCCGACGCCTTCCAGCAGCCGGGCCCCGCGTTCCCCCTGTCGCCGGGCCCCGCGTTCTCCCCGTCGCCGTGCGCGGCCGGCGGCCCGCACTCCCCAGGGAGCCCCTCGGAGCCCGAGAGCCCCTATCCGCGCTCAGGTGAGTAAGGCTGCGTCTGCACGGCTCTGCAGGTGGGACCGTCACAGTCACAGTCACAGTCAGCGTGCCTGGGACTCGGGCGGGCGGAGCTTTGCAGGTGGCAGCAGCCCCCTGTGGGCACTGGGCCTTGCCGCCCTCTCAGACGGGGGTGCGGGCGTGGGGGGCACACTCACCGTGGAGCAGGTGCCCTGGGGCCGTGCCGGGGCTGCTCTGCTTTCCTGATCTCAGCCTCCAAAAGCTCCCAGAAACCACACAGATTTGAACAGCATCCCTGTGGTTCCCAGGGATTTTTTTCAAAGGCAGTAGAAATGAGATCATGAAATCCTCATATTATGGAAGACGTGGCCCAGGATGGCAGAGGGGAGGGTCAGCACTTGGCCTTTCCTTTGGTGGCCTGTGCACGGTCAGAGGGGTCCCTGCCTGCCTAGCTCAGCGGGCCAGCAGCCAGGCCGGTCCCCCCTGTGCTGTGTGAAGCCAGCCCAGCGCCACCTGATAAACATATGCCCAACTGGAAAAGCAGGACACACTGCCTGGCCCCGTGCAGGGGGGGCTCACACACATTGTCTAACCACACACACCACCACACCTAAGTGGGTCCAAGTCAGAACGAGGAGAAGATTTCTGGGCACTTCATGTGTGTGAGAAAAAAAATACTGTCCTTAGCAAACAAGTTCCTGGAGGCCTTAAAATACATCTGGTGCTCATGTTATGATCCGCCTCATTCATTTGTTCACATATTCCTTTATTTAATATTTCTTAAACTCTTCTATATGTAAGCATCAGCTTCAGGTACTAAAACGAGAATTCAAAGATTAATAAAAATTGTCCCGGCCCTTGGAGAGCTTACAAAATGTGGGAAGAAGGTGTTGCCCCCTCCCTCAAGTTTTCCCTTTTGCCCCGATCAGTGCATCTACTTTACATATACATCTACTATTACGTTTATCAATTATATTTACATATAATTCTTTGTATGTCTGTTTAGCCCATTCGCTGTCAGTCACGCTCTCATTCCTACATGTAACACAGAGCCTAACGTTCAGCATTCGCTCACTCGTTGATTACAGAGTAAATGAATTACCACACAGGCATTTAGAACCCTGGAGCTCAGGGTTGTAGATACAGATTTTACCAAGCCAGTAAGCAGTGACTGGGCACCTGCTAGGTGCCAGGCGCTGTGCTGGGACTAGTGGTACAATGACGATTATTATGGCAGGGGTCTCTGGCCTTCAAGAGGCAGTGGCTGTGGAGCACAACCGTGTAACTAAGTAACGGAGTGCGATGCAGGCTGTAGAGGCGAGTGAGCATAAGGACCTGAGCTCAGGAAGGGATGTGGGAATGGAAAGATGGTAGTGAATTTGAGGAGATAGTGCCAACAGTATCTGACGTGGAGGTGAGGGCTGAGAGGCTGGAAGGGAGCTTGGAGCATGGCACGGAGTGGAAGGAGATGGTTCAGTTCTTGAAAGTGGCTGAATTCACTGAGAAAGGGACACACAGAAAGAGAAGTCATTTGAGGACAGAGACATGGTTAAGGGACATGCAGACAATTACGCCTCAAAAACATATTTGCATAAAACATATCTGTGCCACAAAGATTCCCTGTCCTGACTTAGTATTCTTGCACTATGTCCAAACTAACAGATTGATAGTTTTCTTCTTCCTCCCCATGAAGGGCAGAGCCCAGAGCCTAAGCAGAAGCATTGTTAGTTTCTCATGGAGGGAGGACCTCTTTTATTTTTCAAATAAAATAATTCTGTTCTGAATGGTTAACAGCAAAATGCTGAATAACAGGTCCATCGATCAATGAGAGTAAGAGGAATTTTCTAAATGAACTGACTCAGCTTAAGGTTTTTAACTGCACTATTGAGATATAATTTCCTTGCCACACAATCCATCCACTTAAAATGTGTGATTTTGTGGTTTCTCATGTTATATTAACTTTTTAAGTTGTGGTAAAATATGTATCATGTAAATTTTGCCATTTTAAAATCTTGCCATTAAGTACAATCAGAGTTCTGTGCAACTGTCACTACTATTTCCATTTTTTTTAATCACCCCAAACTCTGTACCCATTAAGCAGTAGCTCCCCATTTCCCCCCAGCCTCGAGCCCCTGAACACCTCTAATCTACTTTCTGTCTCTATGACGTTCCCTATGCTGCATCTAAGCGGCATTGTGCAATATCCATCCTTTCGTGTCAGGCTTATTTCTCTCAGCACAGTGTTTTCATAGTTCATCCATGTACACGTGTCAGTCACTTCTTTCTTGTGACTGGATGGTTCCATTATATGCATATTCCACTTTTTAAAAAGATCCATTTATTGGTTGATGGAAATTAGGGTTGTCTCCACCTTTTGGCTGTTGAGAATAATGCTGCCTTGAACACTGGCGTACAAGTATTAGTTCGAGTCTCTCCCTTCAGTTCCTTTGGGCTTATGTCCAGGAGTGGACATGCTGTGTTGCAAGGTGGCTCTATGCTCAGCCCCTTAATTTTGCAGATAGATTGACTCAGGGACCTGCAAAGGGCCACCTTGCTTTCTAACTTTTCCACCAGGACCGTAGTTCACTCGGTCACACAGAAATGCCTTATTCATGGTCGCCCAGTCTGGTCTGTGGACCATCTGCATTAAAATTGCCAGCAATGCCTTTTAGAATGTCCACTGCTACATACAGCCTCTGATCTATAGACTCAAAATGTCTGGGAGCAGGGCCAGCAATCTGGATTTTTAACAAATTCCACTGGTGATTTTTATGCACACTTGAAGTGTGAGGAATACTTGAATGGACAGTTCAGTTCAACAAGGGCAGAGAGAGTCAATATTTTATGCCCCTGAGCTCCACCACTAAGGTACTGACCTACACTTACATTGGAACGTACACAGGAGGAATCAGTTATTCTGAGGTCCTCATGAGGGAGCTTTCCCTCTGCCACAGGAGTTTTTATTTTGTTACGAATCAGCATCTGGTATCATCTGTTGACTACATATCACTTGCCTTATCGTAATCACTGTCCAGTCATAGGAACTGATATTTTGGGAGAAAAGTTCTTCTCAGCATGCCTGGGACACAAGGTTGTAATCTGGTTTCAGACATTGTGTGTTTGGGGGGCATATTTGGGACTATCTCAAAGACAGGGCAGCCACATGGACATCGGACCATCTATGGCAACAGAAGAACTGAAAGTCAAGCTCACTTCAAAGGAGCTTTAGCTTTCTCTGTTTTGAAAGGCAGACGAGAGCCTATTCTGCTGTTGTGAAAAGCTTAGGAGAACAGCTTTTCTATCTGAAAATCTTATCATGACGTCATTTGAACTCAATGATAGCTCATAGGTCAGAGGGGAAGCTAATCACCCCTTAGTGAGGCTCCCAGGAGAGTCCAGTTCTTCTGTCTGACCCTCAGTGCCACTGCAGGACGGCCTCATTACATTACATTACTGGCTTTCCTTAGCAGCAACACTGGCCACCAAATCGAGCCATTTAATGGCAAAAATGGGGTTGATCTGACTTTCTTTGTGTCGTATATTAGTTTTGACACTCCTCTGTGACCGCTTTCTTTCAGTTGACACCCCTCCCCACCCCCCCGCCTTAAGTCACACAAGCCTCAGGGACCCAGAAAGGCCGGCCTGTAGATGCCACGGCCCGTAGTCACCTGGTGCTGTCTGCGCCTTAGCGAGAGGACATGCAGTCTCTTGTGGGTGAGGGTGAGGTGACCTGCCCACCCCTGTTTAGATGTGTTCCCTTTAGGGGTGATGACGTTTGCCTCTCTGTTCATGTGGTGGTTTGTCTGGCTTCCTCAGTACCAATAAGAGTGTTTACAGATGCTCTGAATATGGGAGCGTCCCAGGGACCGCAGCCTCTGTGTTAGCCAGACGGGCCCATCACAGATAGCGTCTCTTAAGGGGACTGGAGTGACCGGCCACCATGGAGGCCCCTGGTCTCGCAGCCAGCGCTCCGGGTAACGCGTCGGCCCGAGTGTCCAGGGGGCACTTCTGATGCGCCCTCCGGTCCGTCTCCCTGCAGACTTCCGGCCGGTGTGCTACGAGGAGCCGCAGCACTGGTGCTCCGTCGCCTACTACGAGCTGAACAACCGCGTCGGGGAGACGTTCCAGGCCTCCTCCCGGAGCGTGCTCATCGACGGCTTCACAGACCCCTCGAATAACAGGAGCAGATTCTGCCTTGGGCTCCTTTCCAACGTCAACAGGAACTCCACGATAGAGAACACCAGGAGACACATAGGAAAGGGTAGGAGCAGAGCGGTGATTCCGCTCTACGCGCTTCTGAGCGAACCAGGGAAATAGAAACAAGCCTCGTACTGGCCGCGCATCCCGGTGGGTGATCCCAGGGGTGGGTGCTGGGGAGGCATGGGGGCGTTCAGGACCTCAGAATTGCTTAAATGTGAAAAAAAATTTTAAGAAGTGGCTACAAAACATGCCATAAAGTGGCAAAAAAAAAAAAAATCAGCTTGGAATATTTTGAAGGCAAGAGCTCACAGCCTTCCGCAGGTCGGAGGATGTTTCTCAGGAGCCCCTGTGCACCATTTGGTTCTGAGCTGCACGGCTTCCTGGAGCACCAGGCTGACCATGCGCAGCAACGCGCACCCCTAAGTTCGTGAGCAAGTTTACTAGCTCTGTGGTCGTAATTGGTGGAGTCACTTAGGTTTCAGATGGGCATTCATCTCACAGATATTTACGGAGCGTCTACTCTCAGCCGGACTGTTGTGCCACTAGGGGTGCAGCGGTGGGATATGAACAAGCCAAACCAAACGGGAGAATTCCTGCCTGCATGGCTTACTTGCTACTAAGGAAAGACAGACGAGAAAAAAATGCATTTAATGTATCAAACGATTAGTGTCTAGAGAAAAACAAAGGAGAGAAGAGAAGGGGGTGGGCCTGCTGTGATTTAGAGCAGGGTAGCTGGGGAGGCGAGGAGAGCTTTCCAGAGGAGGTGAGCCAAAGAGGGCATTAGCTGCAGGTATCCGTGGTGGGTCGGTGCCCTCCAAGCAAAGGATTGGCGGGTGTAAAGACTCTGGGGCCTGCCTGGCTTAGTGTGAGGAACAGCAGGGACGCCAGGGCAGGTGGATCAGAGTGAGGGTGGGCGTGGGGAGCCGTGAGAGAGGAGGCGACAGGACCTGGTGGCAGAGGCCGGGAGCCCATTCAAAGTGCCTTAGCTTTACTGCGTGAAATGGAAAGATTGACTTAAGTTGAGGCATTTACAGATCTGAGTTTTCATTGGAACAGGATCCCCTGGCTGTTATCTTAGGATTAAACTGTCATGGGCGAGGGTGAATGGTTTAAAAACATGCATAAAAGCCTGAAAGGCATGTAACAAATGGCAGCTTTACTTCTGGGCTGTAGGTTATGGCAGATTTTTCTTACGTCTCTGTAGTTTCTCGGTTTTCTCTCAGGGGCTCCCTTGGTCATGTGAGGACAGGGTGGGACATGGCGGGGGAGGGTGCACGGGATTGCTGTGGTGGTGGGGGATGGGGATATTCTTTCTCCCATGTATTTGAGTATATGTGTAACTGTATAAGGACTTTCTAAAAATGCCATTATTATACGCAGAAATATGCACTTTCCTAAAGGTCCAGATAATCCTGACAGCCAGATTTTCAAGTAGTGTGCACAGCAAAGGCAGTGTCGGTCCCCAGCTCACGGGAAGGTGTTGGGCTGATGCTAGTATGTTTAGGTTTATTCTTAGGGAGGGAAGGGGCATCGGAAGCCCCTGAGCAGGGTGCCTGGGGGAGGAGATGCACCTTCACAGCAGTATCTGTCCCTCCCCCTTCAGCAAGGGGCCCACGTATATCCCTTCCACCCTGACGTTCTCACCTTGGATTCCAGAGCATCGGGACCCTCACACCAGCCTGACTCACCCACCCTCCTCCAGCCTTCTGTCACTAGGCCTACCGAAGAGGTCTAGAAGGTGACACTTAGCAAACCCCAGTCAAACTCGAGGACTGCCTTTCCTGATTAGCCACAGCCCAGGACTCTAAATGCCCCAGTGTCATAAAAGGTGGGCAGCAGTCACACACACACACGTGGAAAGTTCAGGTAAAGAGGAAGCCCAGAAAGAGAGGTGGCCCTGGCTTCTCTGTCGTCTCAGGCAGCACTTTCCTCGGGCATATTCCATGTACCTCACTGTTTCTATGGAGATCTCGAATCTGAGGCATCTGGTGTGAAGCACTAGTGTGGCCTGTCAAATGGACACAAAGAAGATCCGTTGCCTTCTGGACTCCTCTTTAGCTTCTGCTGTCGCTGGCCAAGGCCAGCTTCCTTCACGTCGGAGTGAGCCCCGTCCTTGTCTGGTGTTCAGAGCCGGCTCAGGCCCCTGCATGCCCTTCCTCTGGGGCCTGCAGGCAGCTGGCTCTGCTCCCCACTTGCCCTGGGGCCTGGCTCTGCTACCCCCTTCCTCTGGGGCCTGCAGGCGGCTGGCTCTGCACCCCCTTCCTCTGGGGCCTGCTGGCGGCTGGCTGTGCTCCCCACTTGCCCTGGGACCTGGCTCTGCTACCCCCTTCCTCTGGGGCCTGCAGGCGGCTGGCTCTGCACCCCCTTCCTCTGGGGCCTGCTGGCGGCTGGCTGTGCTCCCCATTTGCTCCAGATGCTAAACTGCTGCCTCCCTGCCCAGGCTCCTCTGCTGTCATTACTCTGCGAACTGTGCTGTTGTTGCAGCTAAGACTTTAACAGGGTTGAAAATCATTCCTTAAATAAAGACCAGAGTCAGATAACAAAACCCTTACCTGTTCTACTTCATAGAGTCTGGGAGGATTATGCGTTTGAAGGTCATTCAGTTCAAACACACCACAAACACTCTGCGGCCTGCTTCTCCGGCTCCTTCAGCACCTGCTCACCCTCTTTGGAAAAACCCCAGCCAACCCCCAGGCAGGCCCTCCCCTGGGGCTGTGAGAGGCATCAGCTTGGATTTCCTTCTGCCTCCTTGGCACCGTCTGGGCCATGGGTGTCCAGGGAGAGCGAGTGACGGACGTGGGAAGAAAGGAGAGAGATGGCCGAGGGAGGAGGAGGGGAGCTGGTCCCGTAGGCGGCAAGAGGGCAGCCGTCTGGGCACCATGAGCTGTGCTCCGCGGTGACGGGGTCAGAACGCGTGATACCGGGAACCACTCCTGCCTGAATTGTCCTGAGGAAAAGGCGATGCGAAAAGGCAGCCACGAAGGCCGTGGGAGGTGGTTGCATACCGTGTGCACTTGCCCAAGTGCTCCTTGTACCCCAGACAGGGATGCTGACAGCTTCTCAGCTGTGTTTCCTAAATACACAGGTGTGCAACCCAGGTCTGAGAACCCTTAGAGATCTGTAAATTCCATTATTTAAAAAGTTTGTATTTTCATTTTGAGGAAATCCAAAATACATCAACGTCAGCATATTTTGTGCCATTTCTATGAACACCGGGTACCACATGGTGATCGTATTTATTACCATGTTGGCACCCAGTACCGGAGATTTTTGTTTCTGCTGAAAAGGGTTGAAGAAAAGTTCTGGTACTTACTATTCACTCAACTAGAATGTCTTCATTTTATCCCAGGCCTTTGCTAGAAATTTATGTTGAACCTTAAACCCAGATACTTGGAAGGAAAAAAAAAATCAACTAAAATTTAATTTGGCTTGAAAATTACTCCAAGTAGCAACATTCTCAAGATGCTCTTTGCCTTTTAACTCCAAGAATGTGAGATATAGTAGCATAAAATATATTTTAATTATGAGTTCTTATATATAAAAATGTGGCAAGAATTTCGTTGTTAGCAAGTAAAAAATAGGCATCATTTCTGTGGTCTGTAATAGTAGGTGATAATCTTTAACATTAAATAGGTCTTTGAGGTATTTATCAAGAGAAGTGAATTTGTAATTGTTGGTTAAACAAAATCTAAACTTCATTTATTGTTTCCTCTAAAGTGGGTTTAAGTGTATGCACTTAAGTAACTTTTCCATGATATTATCTATTACTTATTTACATATGGACCTGAAGGACTATTTGATGTGTTTTGCATTATATATTTATTTTGCATGTAATATAATGAGATTTAATTTTAGAATGGATAAGTGTGGGATCGAGAGTGACAGCAGTAGGATGGGAGAGCCTGCTTGTTTGTTCGTGGCAGTGATTGTAAACATGGGTTGCAATCCACTTTTAAGTGGATTCATGAAAAGGACATAGATTTAAATTAAAGCCAGTCAACATTTGGGTCACACATCCATGACCGGTGATATTAAAATTAAGCTCCCCATTCACAGTCCCATCTCATGAGGTTCCAGAGGTCCGTAAGAAGGCCCTGGAGTTGATCCTGCCCTAAATGCAGTGCTGGTGTTCAAGGGCTTTGTTTTTGCCTCATAGGCGTGCATTTATACTATGTTGGGGGAGAGGTCTACGCTGAGTGCGTCAGCGACAGCAGCATCTTTGTGCAGAGCCGGAACTGCAACTATCAGCATGGCTTCCACCCAGCCACTGTCTGCAAGATCCCCAGTGGATGCAGCCTCAAGATCTTCAACAACCAGCTGTTTGCACAGCTTCTGGCTCAGTCAGTTCACCATGGGTTCGAAGTGGTGTATGAGCTGACTAAGATGTGCACTATCCGGATGAGCTTTGTAAAGGTGAGGAGCGCTTGCTTTCAGATTGTAAGATGGAAATGAGAAATAAAACACAAAGCTTTGGCTGAGGACGCAATTATACAGCCGGTCCAAGTAGACAACAGTTTG